AAAGATTTGTTATCTTACTTAACATTTTTTCTTCATTGCACAATCAAACGAAACGAAATTCTGTTGCTTTTCGCCTAACGAAATGCACTTTTGTTGTCCTTTTTGTGATGACAGTTCTCATGAATGCTGCATTCATTATTAAAGGCTATTAAATTTATTGCCTATTTCCCCTCTTTTTTTTACCACTGTACTTCCCTCCCCCTCCCCTTTCTCTGAATACTGCTGGAGTATAAAGCTATACGGGCAAATAAATGAAAAGAAATATGCAAAATTCGTGTGCATTCACAGAGATGGTGCACATGTCGAGAACACAAGCAAAAGGGAGTTCATTTAATTTTGACTTTTTTTTTAGAGTTTTAACCCGTAGATATAGTTCTTGATATCTCGAGGACACAGACACCAATGTATTTAAAAGAATTTCAAAACCACAGCTTGCTAAAATGCCACAAAAAGCTAATTTTGCGCAAAATACAAGCGAAGATAGCCGCATAAAAAATTCATGACTCACTTTTCATGAACGGCTAAGACAATTGGAAGTAAAACATGTTGTAAAAATATTTAAGCATCAAAGATTAGCTGGCAACGTCACGATAGAACTCTTTTAAAAAATAGTTAGAAGCTGACGGGTTTAACACCCCCAACGGGTGTTAGTCCGCAAAAGAATTATCTTTTCCTACTGACAGGATCAAACCTTCAATATTTCGCCTAAAAGCAAAACTATTTGCCGCCACACCAAGTCAATCAGCTAAAAATAAGACACGGATTGCACAATTTCAAAGTCAAATTTCCGAAACAAGAACTTTTTTCTTGGTCGTTCAGTTTTGATTTTTTTTTTGGAGTTTCAACCCGTAGGTATAGTTCTTGATTAGAAGTACTCACTATTTTTTATTCCTATCAAAGTCTTCGAGAAACCATTGAAGGAAAAAAACAGCTTTTTTTAAAAAAGACCTAAGTTTTCGAAAATGCAATAAAAAAACTGACAAACCTTATTCCAGTGATTTTTCTTTCAATTTTGATTTTCCTTTTGGAGTTTTAACCCGTAGGTATAGTTCTTTATGCGAAGTACTCACTATTTTTTTATTCCTACCAAAGTCTTCGACAAACCGCTGAGGGAAAAAAAGTTTTTTTTTTTT